GCGGGCCTCTTGAAGCTCCTCATAGTCCCTTTTTGTCTCCTACTCAGTAATCATGTCCAACACTCCAAGTGCATGATATGAAACGTCATTGATAGTTCTCCCTGAGTTTTGCTGAAACAACTCTTTCCCTTCACTCTTGCTCTGTTTATTTTTGGAAGAGCCTTTTCTCATTCTGTTGGGAAGTGTCTGCTAATAAGCTTTGGCTTGTTTTTATTCTCATTTCCAATTACCTTTTCTCTTTCATATGTCTTTATTTGAGTGCATATTAATTTTATTTCTCTTTATAGTTAGTGTCTGAAAGCTAAAAGGCAATATTTAGTAAATGTGGTGTGGAACAAAAATAGTGAAAGAACTTTGGTGTAAATCAGAGAGCTTTTTAACAAGCAAGAGTCTCATTGGGTAATGGAAATCAGGATAAACCAATTGTTCATAATCTATCCCCTAAATCTGCATCTCCCAGAGGTCTTTTTTCTCCTGTCCTGATTAACAGCACCACCCTTTGTAAATCTGCATATTTCAGAAGCCTGAAATAAGGATAAGTGGTGCGGGAGGCTCTCATTTAACTTTAATATCTGATTAATCACTGATTTTATTGGTTCCACCTCAACATCCTCATTTCCTTCCCTGTCTTTCTCTCTTTCCCATAGCCTGCATTATCTCTTACCTGATCTAATCATCCACTTATTTGCCCCTTTACCCCAGTATTACTGCCTTCCAAGTCAGCCTCCTCTCTACATATTAAGTAGCTTTTTCATAATACGGATCAGAGCATGTCACTACCTTATTTCAACCTTTCTAGAATCTATTTAGAATAGGCAGATCCACAGAGACACAAAACACATCAGTGGTTTCCAGGGTCTGTGGGGGAAAGGGGAAGGAGTGGGGTTATTAATGGGCATAGTTTCACTTAGAGTGAAGAAAACATTCGGCAAGTAGATGGTAGCAATGGTTGCACAACCCTGTGAAGGTACTAAATTCTACTGAAATGTGCACTTTAAAATGGCTAAAATTATAATGTATCTCAAGTATATTTTACCATAATGAACAAAAACTCTAGAGTATCAGATCTGTTCATCCAGTTATTCACAGGAGCCTCTCATGACCCACTCGCGTTGCCCATTCAACTCTCCTTCCATCTTCCATTTGTTCCTCCATGGTCAGGGTCATGTAGAGACTGCCGCGTGTGCATATGTGTGCCATCAGGCTACACTATTCTACACTCTTGGCAGTGCATCCCACCACCCCTTCCCCACCCACTCTGTCTGTTCAGCGACCTTCTCTGAGACCCTGAGATGTCTCCCTGACACATCTACATCAGCGAGTCTCCTGTGAATGTCCCTGAATTTAGATCCCGAATCTTGCTATCTAAAAAGGTACCGCCAGGAGACATTTACTGCGAGGTGCAATATCTGTATCCAGGGAGATAGTATCATTGTCTAAAGAATAAAGTGGAATGAAGTTTTCTTTGCATAACTCTTTTAAAATTCGTGATGCATTTGTGACCCCCTTGCGATATCTAGAACACATGGGTTTTAGAGGCACCCCAAATATACAGTGCCAGTAATGAGAACGTTTCCCTCCAGGGAGCCTTGAGATTAATCTTGTCACATTTAAATATGTAATCATGACTCTGTTGTGTTTTGTCACAACCTCTAAAAGCTGCCTAGTGTGGTTTGTGTCCTTAGTTTGTAAGCAATGAGGTTTGGCTATAAATAACCGCATAGGTTATCTTTCAGCACTCGTAAATTCATTTTTATTTGTTTGGGTTTTTTTGTTTTGTTTTGTTTTGTTTGATTTACAAGTTATTGAACTCAGGTCCTTGCACTTGTGAGGCAGGCCACCGAACCACTGAGCTAAATCCTCGGCCCGCGTAAATTCATTTTTGAGATTAACATCAGTAAAATGCTAAATGTGAATCCACTTGAGAACATATTTTGTGTGGGAATTTGGGGATGTGTGAAGTGGCCTTTGTTCCTAAAGGGGCTTTTTTCCCCTGATCTTAATGACACCGTGTCCCTGTCATTGGGTCATTACATGTGGCAGCTCAGAAACTGAACCAAGGTTGGGCAGGTTGCTGAGAAAGCATAATGCCCAGCCCTTGCAGCTCTTCTTCACCAGTTTGTTTTCATGGATACACATAGCAGGTGGGCACAGGCGTGTGAGTGCGTATCAGGGGAGTGGGTGCCAGGAAAGCTAAAGTGATGTGGTGAGTAAGTAGATTTCTACTCTCCCTTGATGTAAGTAGAGAATCCCCTGCCTTGCCACAAAATAGATAAAGATCTGAACAGTGGATCTTAACAAGCACTTTTGAGACTGGAGACAGCAGCAGCACTTTGGAGGTGCTACAGATGCAGATTCTTGAGCCCCTCCCTAGAACTTCAGCATCAGAAATCCCAGTGATTTTATATACATGCAAGTGTAAGAAACACTATTTTAAACAATTCTTTTAAACCAAGATTATTGATACTAATATCAGAACACTGAGCGTTCTAGGGTAATTAGGTTGGTACAGACATTTTGATTTTGAATTTTAAATGCAGATCAATGTTGGGAGAATAATATTAATGACTAATACTTATTGAATACCCAGGCCAAGTACTGTGATAAGTGTTCCATGGACACTATTTTATTAGATCTTCATGTAATTCATAATGACCCCAAGAGGTAATGAATGCTTCTTTCCCAAGCACTGTATAGTCAAAGGAATGGAGTCTCAGAGAGGTTGAGTTACTGCTCAGGGTTACACAGCTTGCAGTGTCTCTTGTCATATGCATGTACTTTGACTCCAGAGCCTGGCTGTAATCCACTGTGCTGCCCTTCATTAGCCACAGCTCTGGTTCTGAGGTCAGGAAGATGTTTAGTTCTTGGGTATTTGAATTATTGCTGTTCCGGACCATGGCTGCCAAGCTCATTTCCAGTTGAAGCAGTTGGATTCTGTCGCACAGATGACTTGGCTAAGTGTCCTCAGCTGGGCTGAAACTGCACTGAAATCCCTCACCAGATCCCCACTGAGGCCAGAGACGTGGATGTCAGTCAGCCGGGAGAAGATTGTAGCCTAAGCCTGGGAGGACCAAACATTTTCCTGTAGAGTTCCAGGAAGTGTCTCTTGTCACACACCTGTTTGCTTGCAGCCTGTGACAAGCTATGGCATGTGTTGGGTTCCATGGCACAAGTAGATACAAATGGTGGACAGAGTCCAAGTCATCCAGGCCCCAGTGACCATGGGTCAAGTGTAGAATGAAGCAGCTTCCATTTGATATGTAAAAGAGTCCAATCCAGTCCCACACCCGTAAGTGGGGTGCTGCATCTCTTACAACCCCAGAGGATTGCAGAGAGTTGGGTAAGGTACCCTGTGACTGTGCTTGAAGGTTCAGCTGTGCAAGTACTGTGATTTAACTGAAACTCTGGTATTTGTGTCTGGTGCCAGGGGTCTAGCTGATTAACTCACAAGTGTGTGACTTGGGCAAACCACCTCACAGCTCCAGACAGCCCAGTCACCTTGACACTCATGTGAATGATGCTGCCTGCAGGTGTGCAGTCCACAACTTGGACAGCTGTTAGCAACAAGTTGTGATCGATCTCATATTGATGATTCTCCCTACCTCCACCAAGGTTGTGAAATGGCATGTGACTGGGGAAGAGTGGATAATTTTTAAATATAATAAACAAGGTGTTTTTTCCTGCTCAGTCCCCATAGATTGAAGTAGGTAAAAGCACCCAGCCTCCTAAGAAGGCCCTTATGAAGGTGATCTTCAGCTGCTGGCTGTTATTCAGCAGCTAGAGATTAGGGGAAGTGATCCCAGTCTTGCATGGGTGTAGGCACTCTGTCCCCTGGTGATTTTGTCCATTCCAAGGCAGGTCTTCTCTGGCCACACTGCCCCCCACACACACATTTGGCCCCCCAGCACTCACTGTCAGTCCTTGCCTTTTGGCGTTGGATCACGAAGGCTTCCCATGGTCCTCTGCTTGGAGTACTGGCTGGCAGGACATGCCTGGCAGTACAGGGGCCAGTCCTCCATTCATCCATGCAGAGCCCAGCTCACAGGGGCCCTCATGGCGATTAGAACTCACCTCAGCCAGAGATGATTGAAGAGTGCTTTATCCAGCTAACAATGGCACGGGTGGCAGAGCTACCCTGGTGAGTCTACACGTAAGACTGGGATGGTTCACCCTGTCTCAACTTTACTCAAAAGAAGAAACTCTGCAAACACACACTGAATTCTAGTTGATGCGATGTGTAGGTATTTGGGGGAATTGTATTGCTGTTCCCATTTTACTTGGAAATGTCAAAAAATAAGGTGAATTAATGGATGGATGGAGGAACAAGCAAAGGCATCACAATGTGTGAGAAAGCAAGCATAATGGATCTAAATGGTGAGTGTATGAAATCGTTTCAAGTTTCCAAATGTTTTAATTGCACAGCCTTGGGTGGGATGGGCGAGAGTGTTCTAAAAGGTGTGAAGGATTTCCTTCTGCTGTGCGTTTTTTGTAAGAGAATCAAAATATCCCCTTTATTACTATTAAAAGCTAAAATAGTAAATATTACTTAATGCCAGGGCCAAGTTGGCTGAAAATGAAAAGGTAATGAAATGGTAGAATTAGGTAAGCTCTATACTCAGGTGCACAGACCTAGTGTAGACCTCCCCACTTCCAGGTTCCAGCTAGGTAAGGCCCTGCCCCGAAGGGGTAGAGGGGGAAAACACACAAATCAGTCCCAGGAGGGAAAAAAGACTAGTAATTTTCAAGTTTTACACACATGAATAGTAAATACAATTGAATGAAATCAAACAACTATACAATTGAAAACTTTCCTACCTTTAAGGTAGCTATTAAAACTATCAAAAGCAAGACAATGAGCATATCCCAAGGCTTGGGTTCCTAGAATATATTCTGCAGTTCATAAAAGCTTTAAATACTTTAATCTGAATTAAAACTTTTCATTTATTTAGAAGGTCCATTTCTCTAAATCTCCAAGTGTTTTTTTGTCTTTCTCCTTTAAGGTCATTGTTCGAGGTGGAGGACATATTTTACCCTATGACCAGCCTCTGAGAGCTTTTGACATGATCAATCGATTCATCTTTGGAAGAGGATGGGATCCTTATGATTGATAAACTACTTTTCCACATGAGAACATCGGGAATTTTAACCTTTGAAAAGAAAATTTGGAAAACTAAAAGTGTCATGTAGATAAGAAATGTATCTTTTTATAACCGCAAGATGTTTCTCATCAATAAAAATTAGTTACCCTTTGAAACACATGAGCTTTTAATTTGCGGGCAGATGGTTTGTTACAAAATGTCTGTGCACAAGGAAGAGCTATATGATTTAAATTAGAGGATAGAAGGACTGGATTCTGTGACACTGATTCAGAAGTGAATGAATGAGATTCCGGATCTTTTACCAGGAATTTCTAATCCTTCCTACAAGTGCAGTAAATGAATAAAGTTGTCTCATCCTGTTGTATAAATATCAGAAGAGTTTGTCATACAATACATATGTCTGAAGGTATTTATAGATATTTTGGGATAAGAATAGCTGAATTATCACCCTCAGAAGAGTGGATGAAATTGTACCAGTTGTGAGGAAGAGATTTTTTTTTTAATCGTTCTAAGTTTATTGGTACATTTTAGGTATACAAAAATAGAAAAATCAGCATGAAAGGTAGCTTGAAATGCTTTGAAATAGAGGTCTTGTATGTAAAAGGAATAACATACCAATTCTGGATAAACAAGGCTTCTTATTCACATATCACAATTATCTTACTTTTTCTTCATTTTTTTAAAGTTTATTTGTTCATTTGATATTTTTATCAGGCTTTTGCAGGCTCCATTAAATCTGTCACTTTTGAGTTTTAAATTATCTCTTTCCTTTTAGCCCCCCCAATAAAGAACAACTTAATTTTATGTCATTGTTGGAATTAAAATCAGAATTAAACTGGCACCAAAACATAGACATGTAGAAATGTACCTATGTTAGTAATTTCACCACTGAACTGTCATCTCCGGGCACATCTCTGTGCCTTATGCAGTGTGTGCACACATCTCTTTGAAATTCCACAGCACATCTGGCTTTTCAACATCGCTTCCCTCTCCTACCATGCATTCTCCCACTGGAGAATTAAATTTAAAAAGTCAAAGCCTGTTATTGCTGCAATTATGAAGTTTGTTTTTCTAATTTCTCATTTTGTGCTTGATTTCATTCAGGCTTGTGACACTCCCCCCCTTGTATTTTCTTCATTGTGTCCACTAATTAAAAGTCACCAAATCAAACATTCTGGTCAAAAGCAGATTTTAAAAAATTATACAGAAAAATATTGATGGGGCAAGAGAAGCTGCAAAATGTTTTTCAGGTAGATCCTCATTATTTGTGCATTCTGAATTTGCAAATATGGCCTAGTCACCAAAAATTTATTTGTGACTCCAATATTAATCCTGGGCCTGTATTTCATGTAAGCTTTAAATACTTTGATCCAAATTAAAACTTTCCATTCATTTATAATGCCCTTTCTCTAAATTTCAAAGTGACTTTTTGTGGTTATGCACAAAGGTGGCAAAAAATTTGAGTTGACTAATACACATGTCCCCAACTGAGGTTGAACAAATGTGACACTTTGCCTTTTCATTTTACCTTTCATACTGGAAACAAGTGTCCTTTTCCAGTTTTTCTTAGTGCCACTTTCTGTGCTTTTTTTTTATGCTTTTCATTGCTGATTTTGCTATCTAAAATGGTCTTGAGCATAATACCTATGTGCTGTCTAGACACACACACACACACACACACACACACACACACACACACACAACCTCTAAATGCTGTATGCATATATTAATCCTGGGCCTGTATTTCATGTAAGCTTTAAATACTTTGATCCAAATTAAAACTTTCCATTCATTTATAATGCCCTTTCTCTAAATTTCAAAGTGACTTTTTGTGGTTATGCACAAAGGTGGCAAAAAATTTGAGTTGACTAATACACATGTCCCCAACTGAGGTTGAACAAATGTGACACTTTGCCTTTTCATTTTACCTTTCATACTGGAAACAAGTGTCCTTTTCCAGTTTTTCTTAGTGCCACTTTCTGTGCTTTTTTTTTATGCTTTTCATTGCTGATTTTGCTATCTAAAATGGTCTTGAGCATAATACCTATGTGCTGTCTAGACACACACACACACACACACACACACACACACGCACACACAGACACTCTAAATGTGCTGTATGGAAAAAAATTTCATTCAGACCTGAGTTAAACTGTTGGCTCTAAATTCAATATTAATGAATCAGTATATACTAAGTAAGGTGACTAAGAAACATACATAAAGCAAGGTTATGTGTTGATGGGTTGACAGGAATGTGGTGATCAGAAGCTAGAAGGAACCTAATCTTACATTTCCCTTAGGAGCAATGGCTCAGAGTTTGCTAAGTCTGTGTTAATGGGGATGTTCTAGAATAGAGCTACAGTGAACAAACATTCAGTTGTGTTTGCAAAACTCTTCCTATAGGACCTGGTGCACAATAATAGCTCAATAAATGCAAATCATGGATTTTTCATTTTTATCACTTGTCTGCCCCAGGTACTAAGACAGTAAGGGAGTATTGAGGTAGGGTAAGGACACAACTTGCCAGACCCTTCAGGAGCAGCCCTTGCCAATTCATCTGAGGGTACTGTCCACTGAGGCTGAATCTGAATGTATCATACTAAAACTGAGAAAAGGGTAAAGCAGAGACTAAAGAAAAACAAGATTTTAAATTTTAACTGGAGTTTTCACTTTCTATGGAATGTTCAAGATAGCCCATGAATGTACAGGGAGAAAATTCTAGAATGTTTAACTATACTTGTTTCATTTCAAAGTGAGAACATAGTAAGCCTTACTAATGTTTAACTCTGGATACACAACATGCCCTCCCTCAGTCCAGATGTGAAGACAGTCAGGTGACCCATGCGGTAGTCACTGCTGTTAGTGCAGAGTGGGAGAGGTAGAGAGGAGGCCCCAGAAAAAAGCATTTCTCTTGAGTCTGGGTCCAGCATGTTTCCAAGAATCGCAATTTATAGGCATACAGGATGTTGTCACTGTGATTAATTTTGTGTGTGTGATTAATATTATAAAAGCAAAACCTTCCAACAGTAAGGGCTTTATAACACTTCTCACGTGACTGTGGGTGGCCCCCTGGGGCCTTTCGTGCCACCCTGGTTACCCCATGGCAGTGTGTGTGTGTGTGTAAGGAGCCCCAGCTCTTGAGAACCAGTCATACAGTCTTTCTTTGATAAGGATGAGTGTTATAGACTGGCTTTCATCTCCTGTCACAGCAAGTGGCTACTGTGAGTGTATTTCTTAGCAGGTATCTTTTATTATTTAAAAAAATAAGTTCTGTACAATATCCTTTAAGGTAAAAGTGGCAATGTCACAATTAGTGAGAAAGTTAATTTATTTTCAAAGAAACTTGAATCTATGGCAACAGTGTTTTGAAAACAGATGTTTGGAAATGTTTCCATCTTAACTGTAAGCACAGCACAAAAACAAAAACATCCCCAAAATCCAAGGAAATATCAACAAAATTCTTTATATAAAAGGAGAGGGGTTGAGAAACGAGCTTTGGGAATTCATACAGCTTGTGGAATGAGGCGTTTCTTTTGGATCTACATATTGTGAAATATCTTTCAGTAGGACTTTGCCTTTTTGTTTTGTTTTGTTTTTTGTTTTTCTTTTCTTTGGTACCAGGAATTGAACTCCACACCTTGTGCCTGCCAGGAAGGCTCTGTACCACTGAGCTACATCCCCAGCCCTTCAGCTGTACTTTGAACCAGTCATTGAAATAAAGTAAATATAAAATCAGGAATTTACTATTTTATAAAAGGGTAGCTCAAAAATATCTGAAAATAATAAAATATATTCAACATGTTGATCCTATCAACTGCATTAATATTTTAGAAAGCAAAAATGTCTTGCATTCTTAAAAATCAAATAATTTTTTGCTACTGGGGATTGAATTTAGGACCTTCTGCTTGCTAGGGAGGTGCAACACAACTGAGCTAAATCCCTGGCCCCTCGCATACAATTTTTTAAAGTATTTTAAATTTCATATTTATTTTATTCCTTTTCACTTTGATTAAAATTTTACAACGTAAGTCAGTAGTGTCATGATTATACTTTATAAAGAAAAAAATATTTGGGGGTATGTCTTCAACATGTGTCTGTCTAGGAATCTAAACCAAGGCCTTGCAATGCAGTGTGAGTGTTCTGTCACTGAGCTATACCTCCTATCAGCAATGTTTCAAAGATAGGATTGACCATTACAAACTGTCGCTGCTATAAACATAGGTGCACCTATATCACTGTGATATGATTCTTTTAATTCTTTTGGAAAGATACCCAGAAGAGGGATGTCTGGGTTAAATGGAACCTCTAGTCCCAGCTCTTTGAGGTATCTCCATATTTATTTCCATAGTGGTTGCACCAGTGTGCACGCCTACCAACAATGGAGAAGGCTTCCTTTCTCCCTGAAACCCTGCCAACATTTGTTATTGTTTGATTTCTTGATAGCAGCCATTCTTTGTGGGGTGAGGTGGAATCTCAGTGTTGTTTTCATCTGCATCTCTCGAATGACCAGTGATGTGGAACGTTTTTTCATATATTTACTTGCTGCTTTTAATTCTTTGTCTGAGAAATGTCTGTTCATTTCAGATGCCCATTTTTGAATCTGGTCTTTATAGTTGGGGGGCCTGAATGTTTTGAGTTCTTTATATATTCTAGATAAGAGCCCTTTGTCTGAGGAGTAGCTGGTAAAAATTTTTTCCCACATTGTAGGTTGTCTTTTAGTTCTGTTGATGGTTTCTTTTGCATGCAGAAGCTTTTTAATAAGATGAGATCCCAGTTGCTGATTCTTTCTGCTAGTTCCTGTGCTACTGAGGATTTGTTCATAAAATCTTTTCCTATGCCAATGTCTTTAAGAATTTTGCCTAACTTATCTTCCAGCAAGTTCAGTGTTTCTTTTTTAATATTTAGATCTTTAATCCGCTTGGATTTTAGTATAGTGCATGGTGAAAGATAAGGGTCTAGTTTTAATCTTTGGCAGGTTGAAATCCAGTTTTTCCAAAACCATTTATTAAAGAGACTATCTTGCCTCCAGTGAGGATGGTTGCCTCCTTTGTGAAAGATGAGGTGGCTGAGTACATCTGGAGTTGTTTTTGTATCTTCCAGTCTGTTTGTAATAGCTAAAACTTGGAAACAGCCCATTTGCCCATCAGTTGGAAACTGGATATAGAAGATGTGGTT